CCTGCGGTCTGTGACTATTGGTGGAAACAAGGTTGCACATGAACTCAGATTTAGCCTGTTTCATACAGTTCTGATAAACAGTCAGGCAGTCTCGCAGTACAAGTAGAGGCACATATCGCTTGTCCTTCTTCCACTTCCTTTCAGCACGCCTGTACTCCCATCTACAGGCATGTGTGGTTTCATTCAGCCACCACAAGGATGTTTAAGCAAGTAGAATAAAAAAAATCCGCTAAGTCATTGACAGAAGTTGAGTCCATAAAATCAACAGCCGAGAATTCAGCAGAAAAATCTGAGACAGTCACGTCATTAAAAATTCTTCTCTGTCCTTGCATTGCAGTTCTCTCCACTGGGCCGTGTAATTCCAATGTAAAATGGACTGGAAAATGGTCTGAAATACCCTGATCGAGAATGTTTGTAATGTTTACACCTAAACCATACGACAAAACTAAATCCATCGTCTGACCTTTTTCATGAGTTGGACCAGTAATGATCTTTAAAAACTCCTTAACCAAGGGTTTGGCCTCACAACATAAATGGATATTAAAATCGCCAACAATCAAAAACATATCATACTCGAGAGCAACTCTGGCTACAAAATCAGAGAACTCTCTAATAAAGTTATTGTTCATTTTGGGAGGGCGGTAGATAAGGGCACAAAACACTGTCGGAGGCAGCTGAAGGTCAAAGAGTTGGGAGTTCAAAAGTACAGAAGGTACTAGGTTGAGGTAGTTTGTGACAAGGAAAACAGTTCCTGTACACTGTAGCCAACCCTCCACCCCTCCCAGAGGTCCGAGGGGTATTCAAAGAAGAGCAGTTTGGAGGAATAAGATCAGAAAATGGCACAGATTCTCCCTGGATCCTGGTGTTCGTTATGGCCAAACTGCGGCTTGCACAGAAGTCCAATAACGAAACACCACTAGAGTTCAGATCAGGCGGGTCGTTCCTCCCAATCACACCCCTCCAGGTCAAGCTGTCATTGCCCACGTGAGCATTGAAGTCCCCCAGCAGGACAATGGAGTCCCCTGATGGAGCACTATCTAGCACTCGTCCCAGGGACTCCAAAAAGGGTGGGTACTCTGAACTGATATTTGGCCCATAAGCACAAACAACAGTCAGGACCCGTTCCCCGACCCGAAGGCAGAGGGAAGCTACCCTCTCGTCCCCCGGGGTAAACCCCAACACACAGGCAGAGTCTGGGGGCTAACAAAAAGCCAACCCCAGCCCTCCACCTCTCACCCGGAGCAACTCCAGCAAAGGAGAGTGTCCAACCCCTCTCAAGGACTTGGGTTCCGGAGCCAATGCTATGTGTCGAGATGAGTCCGACTATATCTAGCCGGTACCGCTCAACCTCTGCCACAAGCTTCTGCTCCTTCCCCGCCAGCGAGGTGATGTTCCATGTCCCAAAAACCAGTTTTCTTGTCCGGGGATCGGACCGCCAATGCTCCCGCCTCGGTCTGCCACCCGATCCACACTGCACCGGACCCTTCATGTTCCTCCTGCAGGTGGTGGGTCCACAGTTGAATGAGCCCATGTATCCAGTTCGGGCTGGGCCCAGGCGGGCCCCATGGGCGAAAGCCCGGCCACCAGGCGCTCGCTCACGGGCCCCAACTCCAGGCCTGGCTCCAGGGTGGGACCCCGGTAACCCTCCGGGCTGGGTACTCCCGACTCTTTGATTGTACATCCATGAAAGATCCTCTGAACCGTTCTTTGTCTCACCCTTCACCTAAGACCCATTTGTCATCGGAGACCCTACCAGGGGCACAAAGTGCCCCAGACAACATAGCACCTAGGATCATTAGGGCACTCAAACTCCTCCACCATGACAAGGTGACGGTTCAAGGAGGAGCTTTATGAAAGTATTTTATGAAAGCATTTTAAACGGGTTCATTAACGTACGCTAAAACTAAAGTAACCTGCAGAATGAAACTTTACCGGAATCACTCTCAGGTGATGTGATCTCTGCTGATGCTGTAAACTTTTCTAACCAGGTTTTCTTCATGTTGTAAACCCAGTGTGTGTGTGTGTGTGCATCAGTCCACCTACAGATGGCCGGGCTCATGCTCGTCTGTCACACTCGGATTGTCTGCTTCACTACTGCAGCTGGAAGCTTCAGCAGCAGATCTGACATTACTCTCTCTCTCTCACACACACACACACACACACACACACACACACACACACACACACACACACACACACACACACACACACACACACACACACACACACACACACACACACAAGAGCTAAAGTACATCTACTGATATTTGGTATAAAATTATGTTTTATTTTATTAAAAGTTGATTAAATAGAACTGGTTCCAGTCGTTGGTCTGGATTCCATTATTTCTATTTTTATGAAATGTTATCAGTTATTTAACTTTAGATAAATATTTTTTATTATTTTGTTGTGGAGCACCTCCTGATTTTTAACGTGAGAGGCACTATATAAAAGATAATTTCTTCTTCTGTCATCATCAGGACAGCAGTAGCTCAGGAGGTTTATGTTTATTTATTTGGCAGATGCTTTTTTATCCAAAGCGACGTACAATTTATTTAACTTATAGGGCATGTTGTGATCTGTGGGGGAAACCCGGAGGAAACCCACGCATGCATGGGGAGAACACGCAACTCCACGCAGAAAGGCCGCAGCAGAGTTTCTAACCTGCAACCTTCGTGCTGTGAAACAGTGCTAACAACTGTGCCACCATGCAGCCATGCAGGAGGTGAAGCAGGTTATCCAGTAATCAGGTTACAGGTTCAATCCTGGTTCCCACCAGATAATGCTGCCGTTGTGTCCTTGTGCAAGACACTTAACCCACCTTGCCTACTGGTGGTGGTCAGAGGGACCGGTGGCACCAGTGTTTGGCAGGCCTCGCCTCTGTCAGTGCGCCCCAGGGCAGCTGTAGCTACATCGTAGCTTATCATTACCAAGGTGTGAATGTGTGTGTGAATGGGTGGATGACTGAAGCACCTTGGGGGGTTGTAGAACCCTAAAAAGGTACTAAACAAATGCAGGTCATTTACCATGTCAGGTCAAGGGTCATCTCATAGCTTATAAAAGGCGAGAACAGCAGATCCAGAAATACGGATGTCCTGATGCAACTTTTTCACTTCCGATATGATACCGATATCGCAGCCTTCAGTACTGACCGATACCAATATCTATCCGATACGATATCAGCACAAATCATACATACTTTTACCTATTTTGTAGTGTGGAATGTATGAAAGGCTTGATCAAGTGATATTACGCAACCAGAGATGAAGAGCCAATAACAGTATGAAAAAAAGAGACATTTTTAAACCATTGGTTGCAAAAATGTGAACCTTAACAGACTGCTCATATTGGGGCTGTTTGATGCAGTCCGATATAATCCGGTAGTGTTTTGGGCCGGTATCAAATTACTTCCGATATTGATATCAGAATGAGACATCCCTATACAGAACCAGGACATGCTCAGGTTTTGACTGAACCCACAACAATGACTTCATCAATAAATCAGTGCGAGACTTTATAACAAAACTTCTGAGTTAGCACCAGGTGGACCATGTGGTCCAGAGCTAACCAACAAACCTGATCGGACCATATGTAAATGGTGCCTTCTAGGGTTCAACAACCACCCAAGGTGTTTATCTTACTATCGTTATCTTATTTGCATATCTTTAGAGAAGTTTTTTTATCACTTTCTAGCACACTCAAGACTTCCGTACTTCTGTCTTTCCTGCCAGGTGAGGCGTGTTGTTCAGGTGTGACGTCTCCAATCTGTGTGCAAGACCACATTCTATCAGGGACAGATCTGTAGACTTCGGGCTTCCTTAACAATGTAGAAATCCATTTTTCCTAAAACTAGAATTCCACCGGGGACTGAAAGGATAAAAGAAAACCCAAAGATGTCATGAAACAGTTGATCTGAGCTCTGCTCACAAAGACAAGCAGCTGATATGTTTGCTTGTGTTTTGACTAGACCCAATTCCTCTGGGTTTTATTAATCATGCAGCGAGTATGATTACAGGCGCTCAGCCTTCAAGTTTATCTTTGATTTTTTGTTAATTGCTCCATAATAGAAGCAAAGTCCCCCACAGTCATTAACACGGGCTGAAAATGAAGTGCTGGCATCACATCTGCTCCTGAGCCTCAGCATCTATAAATACGTGTGAACTCTCCGACTCGTCTCCCAACCGTTTCCATGATTTGATATGAGCGCTGAGATGAAGCTCATAATCACTGAGCGGGGAATTAAAAACCAGCACGAAGCTGCGGTGCAGAGTGCTGCTGAAGGTCTATTTGTGGCAGCGTGGAGGTGTTTCTCCTCCTTCGCTTCCAACAAAAAGGTGAAAATTGCACCCGGAGGGGAAAAGCTTCTCGGCAGGAGTAGGTGTAGGTTCACCACGTCTAAACTCTTTGTCTCCGTTGCTGGCTTTGGTGGTGGCGTAGCCACTGCTGCACCCTCTGAGCTGGTTTCTGAGTGTTGGAAGTGACTCAGAAAGAGTGTGGGGGCCTTGGGGGGCCCTTAAGTCCTCATGGGAACAGAGCTGAGAGGAAATAATCAACACTTTTTAAAATGCTGCAGTCAGAAGAAAAACAAAAGGTGTTAAAATGGGCATCAGGTTAACAGCAATAGAGACACACACTTCACTTCAGTCACATGACCTCTGACCCTAGGAGAGCAAAATGTGACCAGGATCTGTGAGACAGAGAGGCTAGCTGGAGGATAAAGACTCCTGAAAAGGTCTGATCTGAAGAAAACTGACTTAAACTAAAAGCTGGCCTCCTGCTGCTTACTCACAATCACAACCAGGAATGATGTCATCACAGGGTGGGGCTTATTTAACAAAAACATTTAGAGCAAGTCCATCCTCTGAGTTCCCATCTATGACATCAGAACCTCCAGAACCTCATTTAAAATCAGGGCTGATTCTCTGGTTCTGGTTAATCTGGTACCATTCTAGTCACCTAACCCAAACCCATCAACCAGGTAAGAAACAGTATGCATGTCATTCAGTACCACTTCTTTATTGTACATTATTGTCCTTTAAATTACCAGATATTGAGTCATAAAAATGATCAGAACTTTACCAAAGGGTAATGAAAATAAAATAAAATAAAAACATCTCTGTTCCATCAAAGTGTAAAGTCTGAAACCAAACAACTCAAATAGAAACCAGTCCAAAACTGGTTCTGATGGGTCAGTTTCATCTTGACCATCATAAACATGATAAAAAGCTGAAATCCGACTGCCTATGTTTACAGAACCAGAATCCAGACCTGACTTTCATTCTGGTGGTACCAAAACGAGCAGCGAGATGAGGAAACCTCTCCTGATGGTCCGTTTCACTAGGAGGTTCTTAACCCGGTGCTGGAGAGTCCCAGGTCCTTTGGATCAGCACTTCCATACCTGTTATGTACCTGAAACAGTTCCCATGGTTGGTTTGTTGTGTGACGGTTCTGTCTGAAGCAGTCTTAGTGACTCCAGAACCGTTCTTTAACCCAGGAGACACCAGGGAGTCTGGTTCTGGTCACACTCCAATTTGGTGTTGATGATGGTGCACGGAGCACCGCTGATTGTCAGCTCCTGCCGGGACTCCACCTGGTACCGAAGATTGGTCAGCCCTCCGTCAGGGTCCACCTTAAACTGTTCCTATGGGGGGAAGAGTTAAAGATTCTTCCTGGTTCTGGAAGTGGATTCAGGGTACTGGGTTGTTTGTGGTACCTGTTTTTGAGCAGCGACTCTCTTTTGGTCCCGTTTTCTCCAGGCCGGGTCGTGGATGTGGAGGAAGGTTTTGTATCCTGTTGTGATGCCGCTGGGTCGGAACAGCTGACAACAAAACCAAACAACAGCTGTCACACGAGAAACCTGGAAGGTTTCAGGATGTTCATAACAACAAAACCAAGGTAAAAGCTCTGATGTGATTCTGATCCAAACCTTTTGAACTCTTCTGGTTAAAGTCATGATCCAGAACCAAACAGCAGATGTTTTACCTGAAGCTCAGCTTTCCTCAGCCGTCTGTAGAACTCGTCATCCTCTCTGCCCCAGCCCCAGAACCGATTCGACATCCCGTTACACTAGAAGACAAAGAGATTGGGAAAACGGAAACCACAAACAAAAGGAGGATTACAATCTGTTCCAAAATTAAAAGAAAACATATTCTATAGAACCGAGCTGGAGGATGACTGATACCAGAAACAACAAACCAAAGGTTTCTGAATTATTGAAACATACTGTCACGTCAAACGTGTTCTTCTGCACTCTGAACGTGATGATTGTGAATTAAGAGGTGGTTTTTACTAAAGGAAGTAAATCTGTGAAAAGTTCTGGTGTTCTGAGACTCATTTACCAATGCTGTAAATGTAATGTTCACGCGCTTAAAAACAGAGGCAAAGTTGAATTTAATTCTGAAATGTTGGCGACTGGAACGGTTGGCCTTAAGCTGAATGTTTATATCGGTTTGTTTCTGTTGGAATTAGTTTTATTAATCTTTATTGCTGCCATTGGGAAATAAATTGAACTCTTGTTTTACCTGAGATTAACCAGGAGAAACGCCGCCACCTGGTGGACACTGAACCCATCAGCATAAAGCTGCTGCTCATACCCAACTCCACACAGGAGTCGCTCTGTTTGGCTGAGGAGGATATATATACATATACATATATATATATATATATGGATATAAATATACATATATACATATACATATATACATATACATATATAGATATAAATATACATATATGTATATATATCCATATATATATATATATATATATATACATATATATATATATACATATATATATATATATATATATATATATATATATATATATACATATATATGGATATATATACATATATATGGATATATATACATATATGTATATACATATATATATATATATATATATATATATATATATATATATATATACATTTACATATATATAGATATATATATATACATATACATATATATATATATAAAGCAGCTAGGTACCATGTGATAATGCCTCTTGCTGAGCAGCAGGATTCCTCCTACGTAGGTCTTGTAATGGTAGAGGGGGTGCAGCTCTGGTGAGGCGACGTGGAAAGGCCCGTCTACGGGGAACCCGTAGTCCAGGGCTTCATTCATGGGCAGCAGGTCCACATCATGCATGGCCAGGTAATCCGTATCGTTCCCGCTCTCTAGGTATCCCACGTTGATCAGTGAGGCACGATTAAATCTGGAACAATGAGAAGGACAAAAACAAGCAGACCTTCAATAAGGGTTCAGCATACATTAATAATAATACAGGTCCTTCTCAAAAAATTAGCATATTGTGATAAAGTTCATTATTGTCTGTAATGTACTGATAAACATTAGACTTTCACATATATTAGATTCATTACACACAACTGAAGTAGTTCCAGCCTATTATTGTTTCTAATATTGATGATTTTGGCATACAGCTCACGAAAACCCAAGTAGCGTTTTCTGCCACACTTTTTTCCTTCCCACAGACTTCCCACTGAGGTGCCTTGATACAGAACTCTGGGAACAGCCTATTTGTTCAGAAATTTCTTTCTGTGTCTTACCCTCTTGCTTGAGGGTGTCAATGATGGCCTTCTGGACAGCAGTCAGGTTGGCAGTCTTACCCATGATTGCGGTTTTGAGTAATGAACCAGGCTGGGAGTTTTTAAAAGCCTCAGGAATCTTTTGCAGGTGTTTAGAGTTAATTAGTTGATTCAGATGATTAGGTTAATAGCTCGTTTGGAGAACATTTTCATGATATGCTAATTTTTTGAGATAGGAATTTTGGGTTTTCATGAGCTGTATGCCAAAAACATCAATATTAGAAACAATAAAAGGCTTGAACTACTTCAGTTGTGTTTAATGAATCTAATATATATGAAAGTCTATCAGTACATTACAGAAAATAATGAACTTTATCACAATATGCTAATTTTTTTAGAAGGACCTGTAATTATATATTATAGGTGGTAATGAAAAAACAACCTGGAGTTTAATCCTGCTAAAAGGCAGAACTACAACCCCTGCAGACATTAACCAGTAGCCGCATTCTGGATCATAAAAGTAATATTAATGATTTTAATCAAAGCAACTTCTAGCTTCTCCTCTGTCGGACCACCACACCCTCACCTGTAGTGATCCACCTGGTTGATGACGATGATCTTATGTCGAATCTTCTTCTTGTTGAGAAATGTGTGCATAAATGGAACAAAAACCAGCAGCTCTTCGAAGCGCTCCCTGAAGGGGACCACCAGAGCCAGTTTGTGAGGACCCCAGGAAGTGTCGTCCGCTGCAGGGGCCTGAGTGTTTGACAGGCAGGGTGGTGGTTGCTGGAGGTCACGGTGGTCTTTTTCTGATGATGTGGACATGTCTCCTGAACAACTGAGCTGCAGCCAGAGCAGAGAGATCAGAACCAGCACCATGCAGAGCCCAAAAAGCTTGTAGATGGTGCAGTTCCCCGACAGCAGCCTGGAAACACAAGAGGGGAGGAGTCACAGCTGGTTCTGCTGTCTGGTTCACATTCTGACCGTTTTACATTCATGCACTAAATCTGTTAATTTCACACAAGGACCAGCAAGCAAACGCCACAGTCAAGGATCAGGACTGTGCAGAAGTTTTAGACCAGTCCCCTCTTTTATCTATGCATCCAGCACCCAGACCCTCTTGTACTCATCTATCCTTCAGATGCAGCTCAGTGGCCTAGTGGTAGGCTGGGAGATCAGGGTTCAAATCCCGGTCGAGTCATACCAAAGACCTTTATAATGGGACCCAATGGGTTGGATTGGGGGGGGGGTAAACCACCAAATAGTTCCCTAACGCAGCCATGTCTGCAGCTCATCGCTCCCCACGGGGATGGGTCAAATGCAGGGGACATTTTTCACCACACCACATCAGTGTGTGAGACAACTACAGAGATTCAATCTCATCTACTTCAGTCTGTGGGTCATACTGAGTATTGTAATATTTCATGTTTGTATTGATTCAACAAAAAACAGGAACAAATTGTGTCAAACAAGTAAATTAAACTGAAACCAGCAGGTGAAACCATCAAAACAGGAGAGAAAAGAGGCTTCCTGAGCTCAGTGACACCTCTGTGGGTTAGTGGAGATATTCAGATGATCTAAATAAGTTGAGTCCTGATTCCTGACACTGCTGCTTCCTGTATATGGACCAGTAGTTTCCAGCAGCTGGTTTCTCAGTAGAAAGGGCCAACCAAAGGCTAGTTCATAGTGTTGTGTTTGTTGAGAAATAAGGTTTTTAAATCTGAATAAAGTAACCGAAGACTGCAGGCTGTTGGGTGAGTAATGGTCCAAACTCATAGTTTGTGTGCAATCGTGCTTCCAAACAGAAAAAAAAAGATTCCCAAACTGTGTCCTGTAGATTCCAGGTTTAACCTCCTGAGACCCATGCTTCAGAGGATTAATCATTTGATCCAGTTAGTTGAGATTAGCAGGAACTCATAAAATACAAAACTAACAGTTTTAAAACAATGTGTAGGTCAAAATTTAAATCCATGTGTATTCTTTTAAGAAATTTAATTATTAAAAATGAAGGCTTGTATATGTGAGACCAACACCATACAGGTGAACCTCGAAAGATTAGAATGTGACGTAAAAGTTCATTAATGTCAGTAAATTAACTTAAAAGGTGAACCTAATGCATGAGATAAACCCATTACATACAAAGCCAGATAGTTCAGCCTTTATTTGTTACAACTGTGATGACTATGACTTACAGCTGATGAAAACCCCACATTAAAAATCTCAGCCTATAGAATATTGTTCTAGACTTAAAGTGTCACAATCTAATCAGCTAACGAATCCAGAACACCTGCAAAAGGTCCCTGAGCCTTTAGATGGTCTCTCAGTCTAAGCTGGATTACTGGCATAAATGGATTTTTGCACCACATTCTAATTTTTTGTAGATCAGTGTAGGAAGGTGACACAGCTGGTCAGGAGGATAAACTTATCAGAGTGGTGTCCAGAACATAATCAGTACTATTACTTAACCAGGAAAGTGCACTAAAGACAATCAGCATTTCATCCTGTGAAAGGATTAGGAGTGACTAGTTGATACAGAGCTTCAGGCTACGATGAACTTCTTTATTTTGTTTATGCAAATAGTTAAAAGCTATTATAATTTCATTAGGTTTATTTCCTGTCAGAGAATCACACTCAGAGATTTCATGTTTTCATCAGCGTCATTATCTGGTTTACAATCTCACTTATGAGGTTGCAACAAAACACAATTTTGACCCAATAAAGTGGCAATAAAACCCGTTTTTTCCCCCAAACAGATTATTTCCTTTTAGTAATTAATAATAATTGTTATATTGATCTAGTCCGGATAGCCAATAACATTCTGAAGAACTCTGACCTACAGAGGCAAACTTTGACTGATTCTCGTTAAATGCAAAAGCAAAAATGTTCTCATCAGGACTTTGCAATAGTTCATTCAGGCACCTGAAAAAAATGTCAGATTTTTGATTGCCATTAGAGCAAAGGTGCATTCAATGGCAGGGAAAAATAATCAGATTTTTGAGCTCAGACTGACAGATCTGAATGTTTGGGATGATTCTGATGACTGGTTGATTGTTTTGGTTCAGTCTGTTCTGGATGCTGTCATTACGCTACATTTATGGCTGTTTGGTGCTTTCCTCTAAGTTTTAGTGACTTCAGAAGCTCTTCAAACAAAACAGAAAGCTTGATAAGGAGGTGATTTGCTGAGCTGAATTAAAGATGGCAGTAAAAAACACAATAAAACAATATCTGAGATATTAAAAACTATAAAAGTGACAATGTGTAGTTTTAATCATTAACCTCTGGAGATATCCATCAAAATGTTGTTGAAAAAGAATTAAATGATGCCTGCAGTTGTTGAAAAATATTGGCGGCTTCATAACATAACTGGCCTAAAACACATGGGAGCGGGTCTAAGTCTCATATTAGATGTGTTTCCTTCTACGGGAGCCCTTGAGGACAAAACATGTGTACTGATTTGTGAACAATGGTTACAAAATTTTTACCATTAATAAACATTTTGCTTTATACATTTGTTTTATACATTTACCTCTCCACTCGTTGCCAGTGATGAAAAGGAATCTGATGTGCTTGTTATATTGCTGAAGTCTGCACTCCCCAGGCATTTTTGACCCTAATGGGCATCCGTTGGTAAGGTCTTACTCCAACACAAAAATACAGCTTGCTTGCAACAATTTAGGTATCTACTGCCCCTATCGCCAAGAAAAATACACGCTGTCACTTTAACTTTTTGTTAAAATGTAATGACTACGGCAGCTGAAACACAGATCTGAATAAGTTCATTTAACCTTTGGGTAGGGCTGGGCAAAAAATTAAAAATGTAACGTAATAAAAATTTCTGACTCTTCTGACTGAGAATTTTCCCCATGTCAATACATTTGATAATAAAAAAATGAAACGATGTGTGTAGGTTGGCAACGTTCATGTCCCTTTAAGAAGCTGTACCACCTTGAGTCACATAAAAATGTGACTCGAAGTGATACATGTGACAGCTCCATCTAGTGGACAACTTTTGTTTCTGCGCATACCTGTAGTTATCGTCTATTTCTCATTATCGAGATGAAAATCCTCAATATATCGTGATATTGGTTTTAGGCCATATCGCCCAGCCCTACCTTTGGGGTTTATTTGGATTCTATCCATCTGCTAACCTTTAGTCTTCAGGTTTAATATGAATTACTGCAACATTTTGGAGTTGTGATGACAGATATTTCTGTTTCCCTCTATGAATATTAAATATAAAGTCCCTTAGCTGAAAAACATTGACTTTACGTCTTTGACCTGACCAGAGTCCTGGAACCACAGTTTGGGAACCGTGTGTTAAAGCGGAGTTCAAACTCTACTCACCTCGGCTGCTGATGAAGAACTTCAGATGTTTTATTTCTTAAAAACCAACAAGGAATAATGATGAAGAGTGAGTCAATAAATTGGTTTTGATGTCATAAATACAGGGAGTGCAGAATTATTAGGCAAATGAGTATTTTGTCTACATCATCCTCTTCTTGCATGTTGTCTTACTCCAAGCTGTATAGGCTCGAAAGCCTACTACCAATTAAGCATATTAGGTGATGTGCATCTCTGTAATGAAAGGGGTGTGGTCTAATGACATCAACACCCTATATCAGGTGTGCATAATTATTAGGCAACTTCCTTTCCTTTGGCAAAATGGGTCAAAAGAAGGACTTGATAGGCTCAGAAAAGTCAAAAATAGTGAGATATCTTGCTGAGGGATGCAGCAGTCTTAAAATTGCAAAGCTTCTGAAACGTGATCATCGAACAATCAAGCGTTTCATTCAAAAGTCAACAGGGTCGCAAGAAGCGTGTGGACAAACCAAGGCGCAAAATAACTGCCCATGAACTGAGAAAAGTCAAGCATGCAGCTGCCAAGATGCCACTTGCCACCAGTTTGGCCATACTTCAGAGCTGCAACATCACTGGAGTGCCCAAAAGCACAAGGTGTGCAATACTCAGAGACATGGCCAAGGTAAGAAAGGCTGAAAGACGACCACCACTGAACAAGACACACAAGCTGAAACGTCAAGACTGGGCCAAGAAATATCTCAAGACTGATTTTTCTAAGGTTTTATGGACTGATGAAATGAGAGTGAGTCTTGATGGGCCAGATGGATGGGCCCGTGGCTGGATTGGTAAAGGGCAGAGAGCTCCAGTCCGACTCAGATGCCAGCAAGGTGGAGGTGGAGTGCTGGTTTGGACTGGTATCATCAAAGATGAGCTTGTGGGGCCTTTTCAGGTTGAGGATGGAGTCAAGCTCAACTCCCAGTCCTACTGCCAGTTTCTGGAAGACACCTTCTTCAAGCAGTGGTACAGGAAGAAGTCTGCATCCTTCAAGAAAAACATGATTTTCATGCAGGACAATGCTCCATCACACACGTCCAAGTACTCCACAGCGTGGCTGGCAAGAAAGGGTATAAAAGAAGAAAAACTAATGACATGGCCTCCTTGTTCACCTGATCTGAACCCCATTGAGAACCTGTGGTCCATCATCAAATGTGAGATTTACAAGGAGGGAAAACAGTACACCTCTCTGAACAGTGTCTGGGAGGCTGTGGTTGCTGCTGCACGCAATGTTGATGGTGAACAGATCAAAACACTGACAGAATCCATGGATGGCAGGCTTTTGAGTGTCCTTGCAAAGAAAGGTGGCTATATTGGTCGTTGATTTGTTTTTTTTATTGTTTTTGAATGTCAGAAATGTTTATTTGGGAATGTGGAGATGTTATATTGGTTTCACTGGTAAAAATAAATAATTGAATAATTGAAATGAATATTTGTTTTTTGTTAAGTTGCCTAATAATTATGCACAGTAATAGTCACCTGCACACACAGATGTCCCCCTAAAATAGCTAAAACTAAAAACAAACTAAAAACTACTTCCAAAAACATTCAGCTTTGATATTAATGAGTTGTTTGGGTTCATTGAGAACATGGTTGTTGTTCAATAATAAAATTATTCCTCAAAAATACAACTTGCCTAATAATTCTGCACTCCCTGTACGACAAAGGGAGTTTAATCCCCAGCAGGTCATAAAAACAGAAACATCACAATAAAATATTATTTTAACCAGAATGTTCTAACTAAATCCTAAGTTCAAACAACGCAAATGCCAATTTAATTCTTTGAATTCTATTAAAAAAATCCTACTTTCATTGTATTATCAACAATAAAGTTAAAAAAAAACTTGAAGAAAAAAAGTTTACAATGTCCTAGAGTAAATAATATTTTTTCCTAAAATTATCTAAACTCCAGAAGTTTGGTCCTGAGGTCCTACACAGACATTCTGATGTCATTACAGATGAATCACAGAGTTTATTAAAGTCCACCGAGGGCAAAACATGATGACAAGAGCAGTTGATAAATTCACTGCATTTCACAAAGATAGCTGAACTCCAAGTACAGAGAAATGAATTATCAGCGAAGGATTTGTGCCGGTTTCTTAGATGTGTGGGTACAATTCATCCTGAGAAGAGCAAAAACCCACACATGCATGGGGAGAACATGCTAACTGCTAAAACGAACACAGCTGGGTTGTGAACCCAGACTTCTTGCTGTGAGGCAAGTGTTACCTGACTGCACAACTGCAGCACTTCCTTCTATTGACTACTGAGTTCATAAAATCATATTATTCAAAATGTTTTGCACTTAGTATCAATATTCATGCAAAAGCCTTTCAGAAAAACACAAAGAATGCATTTCTTTACACTGACCAAGGTTGGAAAGGCAGTTTGGTGCTACAGCTGGTAGAACAGCTTACAGATAGAAGTTCTTGACGCGGCTCTCAGGTTTAATGAACAAATTTCGATGGTTGTCCGATCTAGTTTTATGCACCTCTGACGGATCGCCAAGATCAAGCTAATGCTGTCGAGGGCCCATTTAGAAACAGTTTTACATGCATTTGTATTGTCACGCCCAGACTATTGTAATGCTGTGTATGCTGGTGTGACCTCAGGTGCACTTGCCCTCCTTCAGCTTTTCCAGAATTCAGTGATTCTTGTCAGGTACTAGGAGGAGGGAGTATATCAGTCCTGTATTGATACAACTTCACTGGCTCCCAGTTGAGTATGGGGTTGAGTTTAAAACCCTGCTGTACAAAGCCCTACAGGGCACTACCTCTAACTATCTCTCCTCACTGTTCCATAGATACACCCCCTCAAGGGCCTTGCATTCCCTAGACAAGGAACTCTTGGAAGTGTGTTGCTCTAGATACAAATCTAGGGGTGATTGTGCATTCTCTGTGGTGGCCCCAAGCTTATAAAATGCATCACCTTTGCTTATGAGGCAGGCAACATCCCTCCAGTCTTTTACATCTTGTTTAAAGACACACTTTTACCAACTGGCCTTTTACCTTGAATCACAAGTAGGTCTTAGTTTTATTGTGAAAATATACAGCACCCCAGTAGGGCTACTACAAAAATAGTGGAAGGTGCTATAGAAATAAATGATGATGAACTTCAAAACCCAAGTTGTGGCCTTTCTGCACACAGTTAGCCTGCTCTTCCCATGTATGCTTGGATTTCTCAGGGTACTCCAGCTTCCTCTCACACAGCCAAAAATACATGTTAAGAGAATTATCAGCTCTAAATTGTCCCTAGGTGAAAATGAGACTGAGAGTCAGTCTGATTTGTCTCTATGCATCCCTTTGATGACTTGTCCAGGGTAGGGGTGGGCCATGTCATATCTTTCACAACAATACTGGTAATTTTTTTTTTGCCTGATAAAAAAAGAGATGCTAATTAGATGATGTCAACGTATCCTTAAGGTCACGTGGTTGTGAAGGCAAACATGGCAGGAGTCTCAGAGTGTTCGCTCATATGAGCAAGAGGAGAAAGACTCATGGTGGATCAGAAGTATTTTGGCTGCTGCAGGCCCCCGTACCCGTCACCTTGTCATTCGGTTGGGCACAGTTTGTCTCACCGCACACAAATAAAACAGAGAGAGATGTTAAGCAATTCATCTTCATTAATACAGACGCGATCGGCTCCTGCTAGCTTGCTGCTTCTACATTAGATGTGAGGCACGAGTTTATTTTGCTGCACCAGATATCTTGATGACAAAATGGAAAAGCTTTGTTTACTTGTGGTAAAGTGCTGCAAACATGGGGGGGGGGCTGGGGGGGGGGGGGGGGGGGGGCTGTGTTACAGAGTCAAGTTGTCCGTTTGGCTCCTTTGAACTTCATTGAAATCTAGACATAACAAACAGCGACCAGCACTTTCTCTTGTCTCTCTGACGTCATCTCTTGCTTTTTGTGATCGTTAATCGTAAACAACAAAACACACCTAATTTTGCATATAAACAATTAAGAATAGCATATTTTTTTTAATAAAAAGATGTGTAATATCGTTTAAAAACTTTGTAAAAGAACTCGGTGTTCTGCAGAACCACAGCACTGTTATATTTGTGAAAGTTAGTGAAATTTCAAATACTGGCTACTGATTTATTTCATTATTCTTTCACATTATAATATTGCACCTACTGAGGTTAATAAATATGGTTAGAATGAAAATGTGACACTCAGGAAAATAAAAACGAACAAAAAATAAATAAAAAAAATTAATTAGGGAAAAAGTAAAATAGATTTTATAGGGCCCTAGTAATATTGCCAAAGAAATAATGAATGACTATCAACTTTTTTTTATTTTTAATATTGTCAAAATGCTCATAGATATCATGGTAAATGTTTAGGGTCATATTGCCCACCCCAAGTCCAGGGTGTCCCTGCCACTTGCCCAGTGACTGATGGAGTTAAGCTGGATTTGTACTTCTCCATCGGCCCTAACAGGGAGAGACACGCAAGCACAGATGGAGACATTTTACTCTCATACTTCTCCGTCTCCTGGAGAGTGTTGCAAAGCAATTCCCCGGCAGGACAACAGAGGGCAAAGCGCTGTTCTGTGGTATCCTGTCATGTATCTGGTCCAAGATAGTGTGTTTATATTGTGTTTTTTTGTATATAAGAGACTTTTTAACACAGACAATTTTGTTTCTCATTCTCCTCCACCTCTTAATGCGCTCCCCACCTCTAAACCCACGTTTCCTGTCATTTCCATCCACAAATAAAACGCTTGCTGCACATCTTTTCACTCCTCCAGTCACGGGGGAATTAAACGTTCATATTTTTAGAGTTTTTTCGCGAGGTATTCTTCAAGCTTCTCTGTGTCTGCCGCTTGTTATCCTTGGCTCTTTTTATGTTTTTGAAGGTGCAATGGCGGCGGTGTAGACTTCAGCGGTGCCCTGACCAATCACAAGCTTGCGTTCTCTGTCTCGACAGACGGAGGTTTAGAAAAGAGAGCTTGACTCCGTCCGTCCTTGCGGGCCTGCTGGAGAGCCCTCGTAGGATGGATAATGGCGTTGCATGTCTATGCACTGTCGCAGACGCAGAAGCATGACTCGGGCTTTAGGCACAAACAATTTCAGAAAAAAAAATAGACAACAGAGATTGGACGCTGATGTGGACCAAATATTAAATTATGCTTTGCTGTTTACTAAGTGATTATGTGGTGGCAGCCATGTTGGATCTGCTGCCCCTAGGGGGCTTGTTCAAGCGGTTAAAGAATAGCCTATGTAGGAGGCTGGGTGCCCTGACAAGTCAGAGCCCAGGGCCCCAGTGTACCTCGGTCTGCCCCTGTCTGTCTCTTTAGGCAAAAATCTGAAACATATTTTAACTTATTTACCAAATGTTACAAGAAGAATATAAATACTGAAATGGTGTTGATGGTTGAAACTTGTGGTTCTTTTTCAGAAGTTTATTCAGGTAAAAGAGTCTTTCTTACCTCCTTTCCTCTTTGAAGTACAGAACGGGCTTTCTTCTGGATGAATACATCATGTTTACCGGCTGCTTTCAGTGAACAAACTGTCACACCCGGTTCATTCCATTCCGTGTGGCTCCTCCATCTGGACCTCCGTGCTGGATCTCTTTTCACCGGTTTCACGGTGAAGTCAGGCGTTAAAATCCATGTTCAGAGCGGATCCGACCCGGAGGCTTTAGCTGTGGGAGCTAACGGGCTGGACCGGGCTGGACACGTAGCATGAAGCGGTTCTCAGGCTCCAGTGCTCCGGCTAACCCCGCATCGACTTTCGGCTTTATTTCCTCTGACCATCAAAGGTTAATGATTAGTTTCACTAAAAACTCACATATTACCGGACTAAAAACGGTGAGCGGTTTTTTGGAAAATAAATGTTGGCCAAAACCACATAACCCGTTTAAACCCCGAGTCCGTCTTAAACACTCATCCGACAGGAACAGCGAGGAACAACAAACGTTCCTACAATCGACTATTCTATTTATTTTGACAATATAACACATTTATTATTATTATTATTATTATCGTATTAGTTTTTAATTAGTCGAAATTTTTTTGAAGACAGCACGTTGTGCATGCATTAAAGCCTGAAAAGTTGATTTTTGTCTTCCTAATGATAGTGTTTTACTACCTTTATGTTAGAGTTCAAAGAATAATTTATTCATTATCAGATCAATAAAAAAAGAAAAAACACAAGAATAGTAATGCAGAGATCATGGTGTTAATAACCAATGAGTAAAAATCCAGAGTCCAACTGGTGAACCCAGTTCTGGTCTTCTGTTCTCCTCATCCTCAGTCCTTTGCGTGTTATAGACACGCAGCTCGTGATGGTTACAGTTGGAGTGTGACACTCTCAGTATTTCACTCTGGTACGGCCTCCCGACTGGTCATTGCAGCACCCTGATTCCTTCTTTTTAATTTATGTTGCATATCTGCTGCTGTGTTTGCACCACCAATATTCTGATAGCTGGAATCAGCTTTGGTTTTCTCCAGACATGCAACTGAGCATTATGGGTAATTATTTCACCTTTGGGACACTGTTCCAGAAGTCTCGTGAATCAATCAGATGAAACTTTACCAACATGAGCCGTCATGTTCTTTTAGAAATTTTCGCAAGAATTACTTCTCTCCTTTAACACACCTGCTTTAAACTGAGCTTCTGCTGAACTTGACAAGCTTTTGGGTGCTTTTTGGGAGTTTGCCAGTGTGTTGGAGCAGATGTATTTAAAACCCGTTGGGACTGTGAGCTGAAACAGCTGAGGTATACCTTTCTGTTTAGAATTTCTAATATTTTTAATTTTAGCCCTTAAATGTAAATATTCAGTTGGATGAAACATTTCATCATTACTGTAATAGTTCACCTGCGTGGTATTATCCACTAGAATTAATACTCCCAAAGACAATCTTAGTTTTTTGGTTTTATTACATTTTGCATCACATTTTTTAATTTCTTAGTCAAAAACCTCCCCCTGAAAATACAATATAGTTTTACAGTATACAAAAACTCTAAACAGCGACTGTGAGCTTTTGATGTGAACTTTACAAGAATAAAAGTCTTAATCAGCCACAATGTCCTTCACACCAAATGTGACAACTTTATCCAGAGTGCAAATTTAGAATTTAATCTCACACGCACTCACCACATAAGACTTGAAGCCTCAGCCCAGAAAAGACAGATTTAAATCCAAACCCCAAACCCAAGAACCTACCAACAAAAACACAATCAGAAGATACTTTTCGCACAGTGAAACCCAATAATCCGTGAGTATTTCCAAAATTTTGATTGAGAAATCCAATATTTGGAAATGCGGGTGTTCAGCTTGTTATACTTGTGCAGCTGAAGTGAAACTTATGGCAGACGTACAGAAAAATTCCAAAATTACTGAAAATTTTAGACTCAAATAAAAATGGATGGTCTGCTTTAAAGAAAACGTTCCTTTCTACATCGTTTCAAACTCGCCTGTGTGAAGTTTAGGTTTCCACGTTTAACTTGGGTGACTCAGTTACACAAAGATCAGAGCATTCACAAAAGTGGTCTGTCCTTAAACACAAACTGCCTTGCAGATTTACACCTAAAATCTTCTAATTCTTCATCAATTTAGTTGTAAATCTGAAAAGCTCCATTTTTTGTAACATAAAAGCTTTATTTACTTTTCTCTATACCAGTAAATTACATTTTGTGCCCTACGAAGCTAAAAGCCCCCAAACTGAACCTTCAAGCTAAACAAAGTCTGATAACTTAACATTTAAAGTAAAATTAAACATTTTTAACTAATCGAGCTCCACCTGAGCTAATCAATAAAACCAACACAATATGGTAATCTGCTTATTTGTAAGCCAAAACCTATTTAGCATTATTTTATTTAATGAATAATTTTGATATGCTGATTCAAGTTCAATACTGGAAAATTAGTTAAAAATGTTAAGTTTTGAGAGTAACCATCAGTAATCAGATTACATTTCAGCCAGATTTAGTTTTAATTTCAGCAGAATTTCAGTAAATGGTGAAAATGTTACAAATCATGTTACAAATAAACCAAATGTCTTTCATTCTTCTACAAAGGATCGAACGCCTCGTGTAAACGGACTCCTGCTTGTCCATCTCTCTAATGATCAGTAACACAAACTGACTGAGAAAAGAAAAATAAATTACTGCATGGCTGCTGGGCTCAAACATCAGTCCAGACCTGAAAATGTTTCCTGCGTGTCGGTGAAATGTGTTGCTGCAGATGTGCGGGGCTTTTCACAAACAACAACAACAACAACAACAATAATGATGTTTTCAAGTCTGATCGGCAGCTGGATGTTTCTGTATCTCGTCTCCTTGGACAGGAGCTGCTCAGTACAGCATCCATCAGTAGAGAACTAACACACGCACGCACACACACACACACACACACACTTCTCCAGCAGTTACACCAGCTTCTTAGCCTCAAAGAAGCTCTTCAGGTGTCTCATCTGCCATATGCCTATGGCCACTAGGATAAGGGTCTGTACGATGGACCACCAGAGGACACGCTGGTTGGTGCTCTCGCTCGTCTGCCGAAAACGCTCCTCGCGGTACTGAGGGCAGACAGAAGGGCGTTAAACATCTAACTAAACCAACATCAGTGACACCTTGATCTTATGTGACTGACCCGCTGGTAGTTCTGCTCCTTCTGGATCTGGTCCACCTGCTCCACCAGCTGTCGGACTCTCAGCTGCAGCTCTGTCAGCTTGTCTTTGGCAGCAATCTCAGCATAGTTGTTGGCGTGTTCGCCCACCTGGATGTCCAGATGAACCCTCTGCAACAAACAAAAAGCAGTAGGTCTTCATTATTCAAAAGATGCCATCATCACCTAAGTGGACAGAAAGTTTCTGTCAGCACAACACGGGCGCTTTGGGCTCCATGTGAGCACCACATCAGACGTCTCCTCACCAGCATGCCTCCAGCAAACAGGGAGAACTTGGAGGAGTTGGAGTGCAAGCAGATCTGGTGTTCTCCAGGTGTGTGTGATGTGAAGGTGAAGCGTCCCTCAGAGCCGTACTGCCGAGACAGAATCACCTGCAGGAAACCAAAGACGACGTTAAAACGAAAATAATTTGAGGTGACCTGCTGACTCATGTTTGTAGAGAGGCAGATTCAGAGTACAACTGTAACTGCAGCTTCTCCGTTAGTGTGGTTTTAAGTAATTGTGTTTATTCTTTGTTCACCTTGTCATCTGGATCTTTGACTTCCACGAGCATTCCCAGACCCGGTGTGGCCGGCAGGTACTCCTCTCGCTGTTTATCGAACAGCTGCGTTCGATAGTTACCTGAACAGAAACACACACTTAAATGTTAGCAATAATTGAACCTTTTCATTCACCGTGACACATTATTAATACCTTGTTGGTTATATTTGGTGTATAAAGGTTTTTTAGATCAGTGTTACACAACCAAGGTCTAAGACCTTAAAACACATGAAAGAAAAAAACAAACTGGTGTTACAACAGGATTAAGGAATGTGGTTTTTCATGTTCAGATGAGCTCTATATCTGCTGAAAGTGTTTTTAAAAAGGCTTTTATCAAAATGTTAAACAGCTGGGGAGTAACAGGCACAGCGCAAAACATTCAACCCAACCCTGCTGGTGCAGGGTTTCTGACCTAGGAGCAGAATAATCCCTTCATCCCCACACACCTTCAGATTTCACATCATGACACTTTCCCTGAAATAGTTATATTTTGCATTTCCAATTACAAAAGACAAGACAGAAGTTATTGTCTTTGGAAATAAGGATAGGATGGAGGTTAGATTACCGCCTATGTGCATCTACCTTTGTTTTTATTTTTTTTCTAATTATCCTCTTAAGTGTTGGTGCTGCTGTAACAAGTGGATTTTCCCACTGTGGGATCAATAAAGTCTATTCTATTCTATTACTGCTCAACTTGACTCCAGAGGAATAAAGACAAAGACTCCGGTTAGACATATTTTTTTGTCAACTGATTCAGCCCTGAGCTTCACTGGTCACAACTAGATGTTTTATAATTTTCATCAAATAGCACGACTCAGAGGTCTCATATCCAGACAAGACCTAGGGAAGCTCATTAATGAGTTCATCTCCAGCAGGCTGGATTACTGCAATAGTCTTTTAACTGGTCTTCCGAAAAAAGCTGTGAAGCAACTGCAGCTTATTCAGAATGCTGCTGCTAGAGTCTTAACAAGAACCCAGAGGACCGAACACATCGCTCCTGTTCTTAAACCTGTTTCATTATGCTGCACCTTCTGCACTATAACTCCTCAGCCTTTAACTTAGCCCTTTTATCTTATTTGTACGTCTAATTTTATTTGTGCATTTAAATTTGTTCAAATAATTTGTGTATTTTAAAATCGGCTGTTTTTATGTCATCGTTTACATTTTAATGTTTTATATTCTTGATGTCCTTCCTTCCGGAAAGCACACTGAATTGCTTTGGTGTATGAAATGTCCTATAAAAATAAAGGTGCCTTGCCTAAAAACCTAAAAAGAGAGAAAAAAAAACCTGAATTGAGATATGGGTTCATAAGTTCATTGTTCCTGTCTGCTGTGTGTTCCCAGCTTGGATCAGTTACAAGTAGCCTGTTTAGAATTTCCTGTAGTGAATTTGTAACAAAATGTCTTTTGGACACAGTCAAAACAAATTTCCCAGGTTAAAAAGTGGTGTACCACAGGGATCTGTTCTTGGTTCTCTGCTGCTCTCTCTCCACAGTCACCTTTGTCAAATATAAAATACAAAAATGTTTTTATTTAGCTGAAGGAAGATTTACAAATACAATTTTGAATGTCACAATGTAACTATTAAAAAGTGGAGGCCACAAAGCTGCTTTTCAATTCTGATAACGGTTACTGCTGATTCTGTGTCCTTCAGAGATTAAAACAACACTTTGTCAAGACTTGTATTATCCAGTTGAACACTGGGAACTTAGTCTGTGTTCTAAAATGTCTGTGGTTCATCACTTGACTAAAATTGCACGTCTGGTCTTATTGTTTAGTTCAGAGTGAAACGTTTGTGACAGACACTAACTTTGAACAGATGTAATCACCTGAAATGTTCATTTTGTGAAAAGAGATAGATTATTTACCTTAAGAAGGAATCAAACGGTTGCTAAATATTTCTTTTAATTAAACTGCTGATGTCAACATAGTACACGTTTACATTTGCAACCTAAAAGGCATCAGTTTTTCACTATTCAAGCGGAGAATTTTTAAAGAAATATATAATTAAGAAATATTAAGCAGAGATATGTATTTACTTCAACTTTAAACAAAATCTAACAGGAAACTTCCTGAAAACGCATAATTGAATCGGTTTAGCTGCAACCGGTAAAATAGTTTATAGGATATAGGTTTATATAAAGCTTCGGAGAGATATAAAACATTTCTGAGCTCAGCACAAGCTTGACATTTGTTGATTTCCTGTGAAGAGACAAGTTTACTTCAACTCAGCATGGCGCTAACAGCTTTAGCTAACAGCATTAAGCTCCGACACTCACCGATAATCATCGTCTCGTCTGGAATTTCCTCTATGAAACATTTCTTCTCGGTCTCTCCGATGTGAAAGTACAAAGAGGAGACGCAGATGTATAAAGCATTCAGGAATAAAACTGAAAACACAAACGACTGCTGCATCTTGAACCGCAACGACACCATCTTCCTGCCGGGACAGACTTGTCACTGAGCATGCGCAGGAACAACAGTGCCACGTAAACCCTCGAAAAGTCCTGGCCAATCAGTACGCTGCTGATGCATGCTGGATATTGCCGTTTTTTTTGACACCTTGGCCCTTATTTGAATTAAAATGCTTTCAACGATTTTACAGAACCCTCTGCGATTTTTTGGTTTGGATCGAAATGGGATGTGATTAGTTTCAGAAAACGGATAGATTGATTTTCTGTAAAAGTGATCATTATTTGAACGTGATGATTATTCATTTGTCCGACAACAGACATACAATTTCATAAATAAACAATTAAACATTTTCTCCTGCAATCTTTGGGTGATAAATGATAGACTGAATGAATTTGAATTTATAAAGAAAACCAATAGGCTACTTCAGATGAAAAATAGAATAACCCAATTTTGTTTTGTTTTAGCTCTTTATTTGATGAATAATAGATTCATTTGTGGGAAAAATAATAAAGCTTGATTTGATATTTTATTAACGTAACTATATTTTCTACAGAAAACACAAAAAACAAAACAGGTTTAGACCATCGACATACACATTAGACCCGTTTTTAATCCACGGGTGCACGTGAAAGACTGTAGAAACTCGATAGATCCAAAAGGGGGCAGTAGTGCAGCCCTTATGATGAAGAGGATCGAAAAAGAAAAACCAGCGCGACCGGAAGCACACAGACATGTAAAATGTAGAAGCTGCACTGAAATCCTCAGACTGCATAATGCATTTATGGCGTGAAATATAGTTTTCCTTTTTTGATTCATTACAAGCCTAAACGTTTTACGATTACAATAGTGTCGGAATAAACAGACAATATATATTTTAAAAAACATAAAACTGGTGAATAATTTTGAGCTAATGAGTTTGGTTTCTTTTAGTTTTAAAAACAATACATTCTTATTGATTTGGTTTAACTAGCACAAAATTATCTTAAGCTCAGTATACTGAAACGATCAATTACCCTGGTGATTGTATTACATTTTATGAGTAACAAACAACAAAAAAAGGCCTAAATAAAAAATAGCCTAAATTTTCTAAATTACTTGATTATTAATCACGAACAATTTTTATATGAAATAAAAATATTTTGATGAACACAAAACAGAGGTAAAGCCCAGTTTCAGTTAGACACCAATTAAACAAAATTAGTTTTCGTCACGTTTCTAACTAAAGATTGAAATGAATTTGGATTTGTCTTAATCCAGCTGTTAGTGTCTGTAGTGCAGTGCAGGCAGCTGATGGAGACTGTTCATGGTCATCCTGACCAAATGAAGACGGGTGATGATCTGAATACATCTTAAAAAATAGAAAACATGAAGGCGAGTCACTTCTGAGATGCGCCTAAAATGTTCTGCGCTGCGACCGGTGTGGATGGATTAAATTTTAAACAGAGATGTTCCGTACCACTGATGCTTCGAGTATGGATTGGGATTAGAGTAGTAAAAGATCTGCTGGCTTTTAGCTGTAAGCCGTTCCAAAAAGCCTGAGTCTGCTTCGCCCGTCTCCCTCTCCAATATGGCGGCTTCAAAATTACATAAAAGAAAGCAGCGTGTATGTGTTCTAAGTCTATGGTATCCATAGCAACCAGAAATCAAGACATGGCGCCTGGTGAGTTTCATGCTGTTGTTTGTTCCTTATAAACCGAATAAAAGTCCGCCGTCTGAATCTGTCGCGATGTTTATTTGGACCCAAATGAAAAGGGAAATGTAACGTTTTCGTTTCCGTTTGGAGGAAAAGCTAAAGAAAACGGCAGCCGAGGTTTATCTTGTCTGTGAACTGAAGCTAAGCGTCTGCTCGAACTGCGATGAACTAAAAATCAACACATTACTTATCAGCGAACACGTTACTGCGTATTACTCCTAAAAGCTACGCAGTAACAAATAATCTTTTTATTGTGGAAAACACGTATTTCGTGCTTTTTTACGTAAACAAAAATATTATTTTATAGATGCAAGATCCAGATGAGTGATTTTCTCTCTATATAAATAGCATTTAGAGCTAGTTACATCATTTAGCCCTACTGTTTTTCTTTTACTATTTTATCCATCAGTAGTAAGTCAGTAATTTTACTGATGCTGATTTTGAGCCTACAGCATACTAATTGCAGATGTTAATGAGAGCTTGGTTCTGTCTCTTCTGCAGGAAGCCAGCCTGTTGTATCCTTATATAACTGGCAGCTCATGTTTTACCTGCTGCTGTTATCCTTGACCGTCTCTCGTACAGCTCTCATCCACTCCTCTGCAGGTGCTCCTATACCTGAACAGCTGGTACTTTGCTGCCTTCTACCTGGCAGAGATCCTCATGTTCATTTATAAAGGTCTGTGACATATTTACCAAATTTCCCACTTTCACAACAGCAGAAACTATAAACTCAGGAGGAACCATGATTAATCACATCTCAACTGTGCCTTCATCTGCTTTAGTTTTCAAATAAATCCTCAGTGTTCATGAGATAACACCTGGCAACCAAACAGCTCCTTGATGAAACCTTCTCTGTGGAAACCAAAAAGAGATGTGGTCCATTTTGTCTGTGCAGGAATCTTGTTGCCGTACCCATCAGACAATCTGGTTCTGGACGTGGTTCTGCTCCTTCTCTTCCTCGGTTTGGAGACTCTGAGGATCTTTTATGGTAAAGAACAGAAACAGCAAACATGAGTATTTAGAAATCAGTGTTTACTAGTTCTGTGAGCATGTATACGTCACCTCCTCCGGGTGACCACATACTTCCACAGTCACTATAGAGGCAGAGAATGGGTCTAGGGGTCTCATTTATCAGACATTGCGTAGATTCCTTAATAAAACCGTACTTAAGCTCAGCAAAAAAAAAAGTACTTACGCCAAGCAGGTTTGTGATCTATCAAACATGGAGTACGCACAGCTGCACGCAATCTCCGCTTCATAAATCGGAGACTAACGAGAATGTTTCTCAGCTGCTTTTTAGTCACATCCCGCCCTCACCACAGCCACTTACTGCCATAAATAGCCAATGCAAAGTGCCTTGTGGATCTCATGCATATACATAAGCTGGCTTGTTGCAGCATTTCGATCACGACCGCAGATCAAGGAAGCGCTATTCCACAAGCAGAAATTCAGGTACTTGTGGGTGAGGTGGAGAAATGAAAGGAAGTGCTTTTGCAAAACAAGAGAAATTCCACGGAGTGGCACAATGTTGCTGAAGCCATCAATGTTGTGAATTCTTCAGAGAGATCTGTGGCGGATATAAAAAACTTTGTCCAATCAGGATTCGATCCCCAGACTCCCAGGTGAAAGTCACGCACGCTAACCAGCCACCCAAACAGAAATCTCCCCTGTACAAGTAGCCAGGGCGCATGATCAATCGGGTCACGGTGACAGGACGCTCACACTGTCTTGATCTGTCCCCCTGCTGATATTCTGCATTCCGTATTCTGCGCTTTAGGCTGTGTGTGTGTGCGCGCGTGTGTGTGTGCATGTGGGGGTCTTGTCTGTGTGAAAACGAAGCAGTACAAGTGATAATGCTGCAGGATTTCATAATTTTATCCTTCTCAGCAGCACTGCAGGTGCTCTCCATGTCCAACATGTGTGTAAGCAAGGTCCTTAGTCAACTTAAAGTTGCGCACATTTTCCTGCTAAGTTTTCTTTCATAAATCCCAAAGTTTGCGTGGAAAGTTCCTTACGCAGTTTTCCGACCCCGTGTTGTGTGTAAGCAAGCTTGATAAATGAGGCCCCAGGTCTATTTGTTTGATGCGCTGTCAGCTTCTCATGAACCCACAGAGAGATGGGATGCATTTCTCCATTTATTATAGCTTTTTACTGTTACAGGTGGCTTTAACTTAATTTGGGTCAAATCCCTAAACATAACGTGACCATGTAAACAAAGTAAGACGAACTGAATTGTAATGGTCAACAATAACTACGGCTACCCATCCCTCCTCTGTAAAACCACCAGGCGACAGACTGACAGCTCCTTTTGATTGCGACCACCTGCACCCATGTGGCCCCTGTTGCGTCACCATGACAACAAAAAGAGGAATAAAACAGAAACCCAGTGATCAACTCTCCCAACACATGTATTTAATTATGGCTCTACAGCACATGTAAGGACTTGTTTTTAAATCCCTGTGAAAATCCTGCACCAGACTGTCTTTGATAAATAACTGAACACAATCATTAAAACTGAAGCTGAACAGTTATATTAGTTATAACATAGAAGTCAGTGTCTCAGTTTGTGTGAACGTGTGTGTCTGAACACGTCATCCAGCAGGAGCTACTGAGAAGAACTCGTGAAGTGAAATGTTTACTGTAAACTCTTTAAACCTCTGATACAAGACTAAGCAGCCAAACCAGCTCTGATTTTAACTTAATGAATTTAACCAGTTTGAAACATGTTCAGTCATCACTGTTTATGAGACGTTTTATAGCAACAAGTACAACAGGTGTCTAAATATACTGAAATCAAGTGATTTAAAAATATATAAAAAATAAAAGCTATATAAAGTTTTTAAAGAGGCTTGGATCCTCTGGTTTTAATATAAAGCTACGCACTTCCCAAACGTACCACATGAAATCTGAAGTCAAATCTTGGAAAAAATATCAAAAATCAAATCAAAACAAAACAACAACCACAACCAGTTCAATGACTTTCCCAACCAATCCACCAGTCTGAGGATTACCACAGCATACAGAAAGCAGGCAAAAAAATACCAAACAAACTTAATTATCATCACAAAGTGACATTTATGAGAATCTACACAAGTTCTATTTCATTTCCTGTTTTACCAAGGAAGACATAAATGTGCTTCTAAAAATTGAGGAGAATGTTTGGGTCGTCCCATCTGTGCTCTTGCCGTTAAAAGCCTCCGTTTGTGGGAGCCCTTCAGTGAAATGGAAGCAGGTTATTTTCTGCTTTAAGCAGATAGACCATCTCACTGAGTGGTGTGCATTGTGTCGTCGTCTAGGCTGGAAGGGGAACCTGTGTGAGCGTTCTCTGTCCTCCTGCATGTCCCTCTCCATCCTGCTTCCCTGTGCGGCACTGGCTGTTTATTACCTGCTGCTGCAGACCTTCGTCCTTCGCCTCGAGTTTATCCTCAGCTCCATCCTGCTCTGCTTCTACAGCCTAGAGTTTCTCCTTGGAGTCATCTCCATATCCACCTTCTCCAGGTGACCACATCTTGGGGGCTATTGGGGGCTTCAGAGGAAGTGACCTATTTTTATTTTATGGTTTGTTTTCCTTTTCCGTTTCTTCTGTAGGTCTAAGGTTTACTGAAGAACAAACCATCATCTGAAACACATCAGGACAGACCAGATGAGCCTTCCTCACTCTAAAAGGAACCTGTATTTTTATACAACGATATTATTTTGTAAATATGTTTAAAGTTTTCCTTCTGTAAGACTGTTTTATGTCTGAACTTTCTAAATAAAAGCCAAAGTGACAAAGCCAAACACTAAATCAGCCTCACATTTCTAAGGACAGAAGTAGAGTAGATCTGTTTTGACTCAGATCAGGAGTGCAGGTAACCATGATGTGGCGTTACTAGATGCTGGTAAATCCCACCACATAAACCACCACATAGATGACTCGGAGGATGGGCCACCAGAAGATCCACATGTTGGTGCTGTAGTTGATGCTGTAGAAGTAAGCCACCATGGCCTGAGAACACAGCGTTTTTTTAAAGGACAGCTCAGGCCTCAGGTATATGTACAGTCTATGGTCTACACCATGATTCACCCCCTCACCCTCCAGTAGTCCAACTCCTTCTTTATCTGTTGGGCCTGATCAGTCAGCTGTTTGACTCTCAGCTGCAGAAATATCAGTCTGTTTTTGTTGTAGGTGGTGGTGCGGTCAGCGAATCTGATGTGCAGCTGGAGCGCCTGCAACACAACAGGAAGTTTGTTTAGCTTCAGTTTTTCACTGAACTTTTAAACACATTAAGCTAAGTCCAGATAGGTCTGAAACACCAGAAGGTGGTAAAATAATCCATCAATACCAGAGGTGTTCCTCATGGATGAGTCCTTGGTTCTCTCCAATCTCATCAGTGAAAAGGTTGATATTATCATTTTTCTCATCAGCTTGTTTCCAGTTGAATGCCTCTGTTGGTTTAAAGGGGTATTCACGTGATCTGGATGCGGTTTAACCCAGAGCTTCGAGGTTCATCATAGACCCTGTAGTTCTACAAACCACCACACACAGGACTTATTCTGTTTTAATTCAATGTAGGTTATATATATAGCGCCAAATCACAACAAAAATATTCTCAAGGCACTTTGCAAAGTAAACATTCCAACTGAACCTACGTAGTGTAGGGCTGCTCGATTATTGAAATCTTTAATTAGTGTTAGGGATGTGTATTGGTGAAATCTTATTCTGGCGATAGGATACATTTCACGATACAGGGGAGATGATACGAAATATCACTGCATATTGTGATACATTCAGCCAGATGATATTAGCAATTTTTTAGAGTGAAATTATTGTAGGAAAATTCAATCAACAGTCCAAAATAATTTGTAACATGTTTAACATGAGGTATCTGAACCATAATGGAGCGATTTACATTTCAGTGGTAGAAACAAAACCCACTGCACACTGCCGCCAACTAGCGGTTGACGTTTGAATTGCACAAAAAAAAATACATGCACAAATGTTTGTATGTAAATTATTCCAAAAATTCGATACACTGTTTTTGAATATCGATATATTGCAGGAAAATGTATTGCGATATATTACCATATCGATATTTTTTTACATCCCTCATTTGCATTGACGAAACATTTATTGAACATTAACAGTGGCTTTAAAACTTTCTTGTTTGTAGGATTATAGGCATTTTTTTTCCAATTGAGACATTTCTCTTGTGTGGGTCAAAGCACAGACGTAGGGGAGTGTTTACAGCAGCGCAATATGTAGCTCAGATAGATGAACTATTCATTTTTACAGCGTGAGGATTTGGAGGTGTGAGTGCATGAAAACAGTCACGTGTCTCACACTCGCTGTTTGAGAGTTGGCAGCCTCAATAAAATAAATATCCACTTTGGACATGATTTTCATTACCTTGAATTCATTTTGCTTGTAAAACAGATGTTTGTGAATGGGTGAGATCAACCAAGAAAGGTTTATTATTGGTCAGTCAATAAAACATGATCATGCTGCATGTGCAGATCATTCCCCTTCCTAACGTCTGAAAGGACAGTCCTGCGCGCAGGAGAGTGTTTTTGCTAACCTACAGCGAATATTGATGTTTTACAGAAAGTAGCTAAGGGTAACCAGAAATGTTGCTAGGTTGATTTCCAGGTGCTTTTTGGGGAACAAAGTTATGTGGGTCTGGAAAGTTGTTATAAATGGTAACAACATCAGCTGGGAACACTCTAGTGGGAAGTGTGCTTGATTTGCAACTTGGAGCCATGCAAGAGTTACCTGCAAAGGAGGAGCAAAAAATTGCTTCATTTTGATTTAATAACTATTGAAAACCTTGACTGTAATTGAGATTAAAATGCAACGAATCATAGGTATCAGTGTACCGAGTGCAGTTGTGTCAGTGTCTTTACAGCATTCACCATACTAGACAAGCATATAGCGACAGTGGAGAGGAAAACTCCTCAATAACAGGAAGAAACCTCAAACAGAACCTGGTTCAGTATGAGCAGCCATCTGCCATGACCCACTGGAAGTTTGAGAAGACTTGGCAGCCCTGCAAACCCTGTCTTTTTAAAAGTTTGTTAGAAAGTCACACAAAATTGGTCCATAATGTTCCTGAGTTTTTCATTTATGGAACAATAATCTCACCAACATGTGGCCTGCAGACAGGGGGCGCTGTGACGTCATGGACCTCAAAATGCGCTCTTACAAGCATCCTTCCTCTGGATTCGGACACTCCCACTGTGTCGACACAGCGCTGCTGTTTTGCTCTATAATGACACCTACTGAACTTTAAATATCATTGCAGGCAACTTACTGGAGATACAACAGACACCGAATGACCTAATCATACTTGTATACACTGTAAGCTATTGCAGGACTACTTCATATGGTATTATTTTAAACTTCTACATTTAAAATATATACACCTCAAAATATTCTGTGAATGATACCAAGTGACAATTAAAGTGACAGTGTTGTGAATGTGATATTACCCATTTCAGTGTCATTGACTCAAAAGTTTTTTTTAAATACATTTTTATTCAGAAAAAGAAGTTTATCCAATGTTTTGGCATTTAGTCTATTGCGTTTTTTGTACACTATTTCACCAGCTTTCGAAAACACACGTTCACAGGGCACAGAAGAAGCTGGGGTACACAAAAACTGTAAAGCCCGGTGGAAAAGGTTTGGGTAAGATGTCTTCCGGTTCCCCCAGTATGTTAATGGATTTTCTCGTCTTGAAATGTTTCCCTCTGCTAAGTAGCGCTGGACCTCAATGATCGAGTCAGCTGTTGCATTGGTGGTTTGTCTGCCAACCTCTTGATCAAGCTGCTGCCACAAATTATCTGAAATAATAAAAAATACATAGAAGTTTTAGTTTTTGTCTTCTACTCTGTATTAATACACATTAGCAACAAAACAAATGTGAAAATAAGCTGATAATACTGAACAACTTGCCTGAAGTGAGTAACTGCTCTGATGAAGGTCCAGGCTGTGGCTCAGATGTTGTGTGACCAATTACTGCAGCACACTCCATTTTCAGGCGATTGACAGCCTCACTACACTTGGAGGAACTACGAAATCCGAGTGTTTTAAATCTGGGGTCTAAAAGTGTTGATAGGGTCAACACACTTAATGACTCCAGATTGGAAGCAGTGTCTGTGACGCGACGTCTAAGTTGATCATGGCGATGTTTGGCTTCTTGTGTGTGTAGATGTAAAGAGTTCCGCTCAAGTGCACATTATAGCATTTTCATCATCGGGATGACCTTTGATCCTGAAACTCTCCTCTCCTCAGACAACTCCACTGTGGCCTGATGGAAAGGGGCCAGCACAAGATGTGCTTCCCTTAAGATGTTAAACTCATCAGCTGTGGATGGAGTTAAATCTGTTTGGAGAGAGGCAAGAGATACCCACACTGGTTCTTTCTCATCATGTAGCCGTGGCAGCATCTGATATGTGCTGTTCCAACGTGTTGGTACCTCAGTGACAAGTTTCAAGGTGGGCCGTCCCATCTGTTGCTGCATTTGAGCAAGCTTCTCTTTTGCTGTAGTGCTGGACCTGAAGAATGATACGATTTGCCTAGATTTGTCAATCAATCATCAATCAATCAATCAATCAAAGCTTTATTGAAGATAAGATTTGTGTCTTATGGATGAAAGTTCAGGGATCTGATCACAGGATTTTTTGACTATTAAATTTAGTTTGTGTGCAATGCAGATTGAATGTCAAATTTGAAGAATTGCTGTTGCTGCTATCATGTTTGGTGCTGCGTCGGTCATAAGACACCTTACCTTATTTGTTATGACCCAGTCATCCATCATGCCCTTTTTGACTTGGGCCAGATTGTCAGCAGTGTGACTTTGTGGAAAGTGTTTGACCACCAACACAGATGTACACAACTGCATATTATCATTGGTGTAGTGACAGGTAAGAGCTAAGTAAGCCTCCATGTTCTAGGAGGTCCACATGTCAGCTGTTATACTCACTGCCACAGCTTGCTGTACTCCCCTTTTTACTCGTTCGAGTTCCTCCGCATGCTTTTTGGCCATCATTTCCTTAACCGTCTGAAAATGAATCAAAGTCAAATTAGTCTAGTACTTAACACATTTATTAGACCACCTATCATTAAAGCAAGAAAAACATCCAGCTATGAAGTTCTCTGTGTTTTGCCCTGTTGAATAGAAGGTAGGAATTTAAAACTGAATCCAGTTTTATACCCAAATGTGAGCTGACACACTGGACGGAAATTATTCAAGCATGCATGATGTTTGAATCGCAAGTGTTTATTTTTGTTTGCTGTGTCATAAACCTCAAATCAGATGATGGTCTAATACATTTGTTAAGCACTGTATCTATTACATGAGTAACAGCAGCTATCTGAGACATTGTGTATACAAACCTTTCTGGTTGGCAAAGTGTAAGATGGATCAAGGACCTGAATCAACCTCCTGAACCCCTCACTCTCCACAATGCTCAGGGGTTGGCAGTCCTTTATAATAAAATTCAGGACTGCTTGGTCCAGAGCAATCTTCCTAGATTCTTGATTTTAAAATAATAAAACATATAAAATATATATAAAAATATATAAAATAATAAAACATATATTAGTAAAACAGTTGTGAGAAAGCAGCCCAGTGTCTATATAGGTCTACCTGTGTTCGTTCTTGGTGTTTTTGCTTCCTCTTCATTTTCATGCTTGGCTCTATAATGTCTCAGCATTGAGGAAGTGCTCTTACAACTCCACTGAGCAGATGTGACATTTAACCTAAATAAAATTAAATAAATAATTTACACTGAGAGTCAGTCACATT